CCAACGGTCGTCTGAAGGACGCTTGGACACCGGAGGCCAAGAAATCTAGAGTTCCAAGAGGGCTGCGTGAGGAGAGTGAAAGTTGGAGTGAAAGGCATAATTACAGGCAAAGAAAAAAGAAAAAGAAAACAACCTGAGAAAAATATAGGCAAAAAGGAAGGGTGCACTGACAGCTGCACACAATTCTAACAATGCTAGATACTTAAGAGGGACTAGAGGGCGTAGGACGATAAGGAGGGGGTGAGATGGAGACGCGACATGCGCTACGTAAAGTCGGGGCGTGTCTTGATATGGAGAGATAGAGCAGGGGACAGAGAAGCCAGGAGTCACGCCAGATCAACAGAGGTGGCATTGGCTGGCTTAGCCTGGCTATGAAGCATGGGAACTGCGGTGGGTTGCAACAACAAGAACGATTTGGTATGGACTCGGAGTTGAAGGGAAATGAAGCGGAGTTCGTAATCGGACGTCGTCGATGCTGAGCGCTTTCAACTTCTGCGTGAGGTTTCCCAAGATTCTATGGTCAGGATTCTATTGACTCCAAGAGATAGTGCTGACGACACCTTGCATCTGTAGACAATTTCATCAGGTTGAATCTTCATTCCAACTTGACTATTACGGGTGCCAGAAGTCAGATATGGTGTGCGTCAGGTGTAAAAGTAGCGACGCTCCTTTCTGTCGTTGAGGAATATGGATCAAACCCAATCCTTCACTCCAGCAGCGGGATGACTTCAACGAGCAACACGTCCCGCTCATTTCTCCACTTCCTCGGAATGGGATCCCACAGTCTCGCTGATAACCATGAACTGCCGTGTTGTGGGTCTGAATACCCCCAGCCAACAACTGGCAATATTATGGTGCTGAGTCGTATTTCCAGGAGCAGTAGTCCCATTATTTGAACAAGTGCCCGCGTCACCTCAAGACGTTCACAGCCTCGAAGGTGTATCTGTACAAGGGAAAGATTCAAGAAACAAACACTCCGTATACGTATATCTGCGTCGAAGGGCGATACCAGTCTGAAGACGTGAATACGACCATCTACGTATGCTTCGAGCGCCTGCGCGGGCCCATCTTTCCTGGGGATCCGGATGACCATTTTGCGAGACTCGACACCGAATATGAAAGACCTTGGGTTATACCTGACACCAGCCCAAGCCGTGCCCTGGATGTAGTATCGCAAAGTTATCAGCCAAAGCGCGACAGGGGTTGCACGTTATGTTCCACTCTCGCATTTGCTTCCCTAATTCCCTTCTTTCGCGTCACTGTCCTCTCCATACGCGCCATTTGATCGACGGGAGAAGCGACTATCTATTTGCAGGGACGATGTTCGATGTCCTGCGGATTGTCCACACATCGGATTCGCAGATAACAACCGCGAGAGTGGATTGTGGTACACTGAGAACATCTACAACAGCAACGATATTTCCAGTGAATATGCTGTCACGTGGTACCTGGAAGATTGGAAAGCCATTACCGACGTTGTGAGCACCTTCTCTTTCTCCTCTCGTTATACAAGCTAAAGGTTTCATGGATTCACCAGATCCAGACGTGCCAAGACGAGTTGAAAACGAAACTTGTCATGGTTGTGGAAAAGGATGACTTCAGGACCCAAGACAAATTGGCACATCAGAATCCCGAGCTCGAGGAGCTAAAAAAAGCTCATCGACGCTGAAACCAAGCGACTGCGAAGCCAAATTGAAGTTCTCAACGCTGAAATAGAGGGGTCTAGGAGCCTTCTTGAAGCTCACAACGTACCAGCCGCCTGACTATCAGCACCTCGCTGATAAATGAGATATTGCATTTAATGTTAGGCGCTAAATCTAGGCCATTTGAAATCGGCATCCGTCTTTGACTTATTTACATGTAATTACAACATAATAGTTCTTTCTTATCATTTGTATCGTCACAAGTTTCAACAACTGCAACGGCAACTCGTGGACTCGTTCTGCGGCTGATATCCAGATATCGGTGAACGTAGTACCTCTGGACTTCGAGCACAGCATCCGAAGTACCAAGAACAGTGCAGAATTTAAATGGCAGTAACGGTGCTAGGGGCGACAAACAAGAATAGACAATCTATCGCACAACGCTAATATTCTTACGATGTCGTTGCTGTGCTCACGGTCTCCGAAGGTAACCTAGTAAAGCTTGTGGTGTAAAATTTTACCTCATTCTTAAAGTTCATGCCAATGATCACCGTAATAGGGCACAGTTCAATTGGGCGCTAAAAGCACTGGCACTATGATGCTTAAATTCAGCCTCTGCAAAATTGATAATTGTAAGAAGTACAAGAACAGGAAAACATATTAATATATAAGTAAAGACGATATAATATTCAATAAATTCATTGCGTTGCTTGTCCCAGATCTTCGCCGGTTGTTGGGTGTTTATTGTCGAAGGCTACAGCCTGAATTTCGTCTACACCCCCAATCTCCTTATTCTGAATCGGGCCGGCCTCTTCATCCTGAAGACTTGGCCGGAAAGTCCTTACCGGTTGTCGATTTTCTTGAAGCATCGAACCACCTATCGTATCGAGAACGACGGAATTTCTGTTCGACCGTACTTCGAACCTCGAAAGGGTCGCTACGGTAGTGACGTTTATCTCTCGTACGACGGCTCCCAGTCCGATTTGTACGATGAGTAGTGTTGGCATAATGGCCTATATGAATATGTGTTGAGTGTTCGACGCATGTGCGAAGGGAGTCAATATTATACTGACCACAATACGCATGCACATCAGTACTACAACAATCTACAACATAGTAAGAGCGAGGCAACATAAGATAACGATCAAATAGCTCACTCTGTAAGGGTTTGATGTCGGAAATACGATGTATAGTAGAACGGCAATAGAATATATCAAACTAGATTCAGCCCTGTTTTTTTATCAGTTAACAACTTGTCTCCAAGCCGCAAAGAACTTACAAGACAGCAATAGCTTTGTGATAGACCGATATTTGCTTCTGGCCAACGAATTTTTTAGCGACTCTGGATATCCAAAAGATACGAGAAACTATATCAACACAAACATTGAGTAAGGGAGACCAAAAGCGGGAAGAGCGAGAGGGACATTGCACTCACTCGTAACGATCATTAATGTGATGTTGATAGCAAAAATGCTCCAGATATATATCGGGACAAACTTGTTCGGCGTAAAGGATAGGAAGGCAAGTGGACCCATACCAAGGAATCCCCAAACTAATAAAATAAGAAGAGGCGAATGGGCATATAACAGGGTTGCGAACTTACTTGTGTCCCCTAAGACCAAGAGCGAACATCCAAAGAGGACGTATTTCGAACGGCTCCAGACCATCCAACAACGGTGAAGCTAATGAGAGAAATCCAGGATCATTTCTTCATTCCAACAAACTACTGGCATCAACTAACCAGAATCAGATCGGCAATGAAGCTAAGAAATGCAGAAGTTAGAGGTGAATGAATAATTCGTCAAAGCGCTTATAGAACTCACTTATTTGCCACAAAAATCGAGTTTTTTGCGTGTACCAGCGTTAAAGACATCCCAACGGAGCTGGTCTTTGTCAACCTTGGTATAACATACGACAGTACCCGAAAAGTAATGGCGATATCGACTGTCGACAGCAGAAACATAAGGAGGGCGCATATGAAGATGAACCATTGGGGTGAGCGTCTATTCCTCACGAATAGATACATATATATGCAGAAAAGGATGGCATGCATTCCTGTGACCAACGAAGTTCATCAATATACCGAGGTGGAAGAAAACGCAAAGGTCCTGAGATACCGTATAAAAGTGTTTCCACCTATGAAAATCGGAAGAAAATGATGGCAGTCGTTGGATATTGAACCCAAGTACCAAAAGGTAACTTCGACGTACCATAGCTGCCGTCGACAACAGGGATACGAACGCAAGCGCCTCGTCCAAAATACCTCCCAAGAAGCCCGATATCACCCCGCCTTGGCTAGCCGTAGACGACATTGTGCCGTTTTCAAAGTCACAGTGCAAGTCTCGAGCTCACTGCACCGCTGTCTTGACCGGCCACGGAGCGAAATAGAGCCAAGCGAAGTGGGAGAGAACGAAATTTATGACAGTGGGTCCGCTATATATATAACGAAGGAGCGGTTGCATCAAACCGGACAAGGACTGTCATCGATTCATCCCTGAGCGCAACCGAACAGAATCTGTGAGAGGGCAGAACCTGCACCAAAGGCAGAACACGGTGAATGTTGTGGAGGTCAGAATTCGTATGTGATCCGCAACTAGGATAAGTTTGGAGTATACAGCAAAGAAGTCACGTATGCATGGGCGTTCAAGTTCTTCGCCTTGTTAGCTGCAATAATTGGAGTAAAGTTCGCGAATATGCCACACCGTTTTGCCTGTTCGGGCATAAGAAAAAATGGTAAGAAATCTGTCGGAACGATTATTGTCTTTCATTAGCCTGTTTCTATAAATTGACTTGAACTCTGTGCGATATCACCGACCTCCGACCTTCAAAAGAGAACCCTCGTTACGCGGAGACATGTCTCCCCCTCCATAATGGCATTGACAGAGTCATCAAAAATATCGAAAGATGGCCTGTGAGTATCCAGGATGTGGATGGGAAACAAGAGGGCTCGCATGGGGAAACGCCGCTTGCATCGCGGGTGTGAATTCGGCCTGGAGTCAACGTCCGATGAGAAAAGGATCGGAATATAAAATGTGCAGGTAAACGCACATAAGTGAATCAATATGAATTAAAAGGTCCTTTGCACCCGCCCATAACGTTAAACCTGATCAGAAATCAGCCTTCGTGGGTATTGTTTTCAAGCAAGCTTCAAGGTGATAGTGCCAAAGCTGTTATCAAGATTGTGCACAATGCATGCCAAATCTTCTTGAATTTCCGATAGCAAAATGGGTGCGCTGAAGGATCGCCTTATAGTCAAGGAAGAAAAGAGGAATCAAGGACGGTGAGAAGGACACGGTGGTCAAAAAGGACGGGATTTCTAAACCGAAATATATAATAACAAAGCGAAAATAAAATATAGCCCGCTTAGCTCAGTGGTAGAGCGCGCCACTCGTAAGATTTCGCTGAAATGGTGAGGTCGGTTGTTCAAACCAGCCAGCGGGCAATAATTTTGCTGTAGTTACTTTATTCTATTTTTATCCAATCATTCAATCATTCAGTTCAAACTTCACTTTGATCTTACGACATCGTCTTGATTGGCGAAATGAATATCGTTCTTAAACCTCAGAGAAGGGAACCATTACAGAAATATATTCAGTTTTGCTGCGTATGGCTAGTCTGGGAATCGGCCATGGATGTGGAAAGAACTACAAGTGAACTAAACTACAAGGTCGGAGATATTTACTTCGACAACATCATCTGGAAATAGCGGGCGATTAGTTCATTGCGACCATCAAGATGAATGGAATCAAAATGGCAACAAACCTTTACGAATTCTGTATGAAACCAAAACATTAGAACTTAATTTCGCAGAAATGAGCATGCAAATCGTACCATCATAATTGATTTGGCCATCTCCGTCGATGTCTGCCTCACGAATCATCTCATCGACCTCGCTGTCCGTCAGCTTTTCGCCTGAATAGACCGAAGTTCAGCCTCGTTTTCACACTTCAGCTAAAAAGCTGTAAAAAGGAGCGCACCGAGGTTGGTCATAACATGTCGTAGCTCCGCAGCACTGATGAAGCCGTTTCCATCCTTATCGAAGACCTTGAAGGCCTCTTTGATCTCCTCTTCGCTATCTGTGTCGCGCATTTTCCGCGCCATCATCGTCAAAAACTCGGGGAAGTCGATCGTGCCGTTGCCGTCCGCGTCGACCTCGTTGATCATGTCCTGCAGCTCCGCCTCAGTCGGGTTTTGGCCGAGCGAGCGCATGACTGTTCCGAGCTCCTTGGTGGTGATCGTGCCATCGCCGTCTGTGGATCCGATAAGATGAGCGCTCTGCGAATTCTTGCGGTCGAGGGGGACGCACTCACCCTTATCAAACAATGAAAATGCCTCCTTGAACTCTAATCAGAATAGGGCATCCGTTAGCGTCAGGGGATTTCGTCGATGGCCTGATCATAAGCGATGGGACGCCACATACCGGCGATTTGCTCTAAGTATACCAGACGGTTGTGAGAAGAGGATTGGGGATGTCGTCAATCAGTACTTGGACCCTTGGACACGATGCATAGGAAGACTCGTCACCTTCAGACTGGAATGCGTGAAAAGCGAGGAGTCAATGTCACAAATTTTGCGTGTTGGATGGCGTCCTTACCAGTTGATCCATTACAGTGAGACACTAGAGGATGGAACTAGGTGTTATGGAGGGGAAGTGCAGAGGCGGTCCTCAAGCTGGTGTTGTTTTAAGAAGTCTAAGCCAAGGGCAGTGGGCACGCTCTTGAAGGCATCACGGCAATCTCCGAGTTGCAATTTCTCCACGGGGGCGAGCGCCGCACAGGCATGCAGCGGTTTGCAGTGCGCACCGCCGTGATTTTCTGTCAACGCACAGCAATATCTTTGAGGTGCATGAATTCCTCTCGGTTTTACTGATGACGTATCGTAGCATGGTACGATAACTAGAAATCGAGTGCGGTGACACAGCAAGATAATTCTTTCCTTTGCACAATTTCAGTACCTGGGTAGCCTCATCCTCGGACATCGTGTGCACTCCGCTGTGGCGTGCAGTGTTCCTTAACATTGAGCAGGCAGGCGAAATGTTCGCTGACAGTTGTTGGGAATATATAGTAACTGTATGGTACAAGGCTATGAAGATGCTGAATACAAGGTAGATCCGTATGATACATTCACAGAGAGCAATGACGACGATGAAAAGAGAAAGGGTTGGCCTTTTTGTATCCTGTTTTCTCCGTTGTCGCCTCAAGGTTTGTAGTGATCTTGATTAAGAGATGCTTGACGTGCTTGTAATTCTTCGTGGCTCTGTCAAAAATGGTCAGACGAGAAAACATCGGAAATGACAATTCCAACGCGCCAAAGGGGCAGGCATGCTTTTCTTGATCTCCTCGCTGGGAACATACGGATCGCGGGCATGGAAGGCTTCCATGCCACCAGCATTTCTCAGACCACCGCTGGGTTGGAGGTCGGCAGGATCATTCGTTTTCTGTAAATCGCATATCAGCATCGTTGAATGATAAGGACCGAAAAATACATACGGCAGGATGAGGCAATATTGAGTAGGTAGGATCCTGCGATTGGGACGAGCCCTGAGTGCCACTGGTAGTATTAGTCTTTCCAGCACCCTTGGTGGCACTAGAGATTTTGGATTTGAGGTCTTTGACGATGTTAGACATGGTTGTAGTTTGAAAGGGAAGGGGAATCGAATTACAAACTACCGTAGTCTTATAAAGAGGATTTTGACGCCGCAGTGGCTTGCTGCGCCAGATGATGTCATTTCTAATGACGCGCTCTTGGCACCATCTGGACCCCGCCTTCATGTGCAATGTTGTTCCGGGCGGAGGCGTCCGTCGGAGGCGGCAGGATTTCTATTTTAAGTTCATGATGCATGCGAAGGACGACGCGACGACGCCATGTGTCTGGTGTCGTTAAACAAAGTCGATAGACAAACGGTGTATCGATAGTTCCGGCTATGAATGCTTTACCTGCTGTGATCTAAGCAAAAACGAGCTAAACTATCTCGGGTCCCTTGGTGTTATCATCGATATTCCTTTGACAGCGGAAAAGGGACTTCTGATTGCATTTTTAGGCCAATGAAATATACAATTCCAGGGAGTGTACCAACAGCCCAGCGATATATCATGGGTCATTTAAATTAGCTATGTCATCGTCTATGAAGCGTATCGGACATTCTTTCGAAGTTCGATGTAATTAAGCGCCCTTACCCTACAGAGAGAACAATTGATACATGCAGTTAGAGACATGATGTCACTGTCCTGGAAAAAATATCTGGTTCATAATACAAATACGTAAGTCTGAAGAAAGATGGCTTTATAAATGTGTCCCGAAAGTACATTCGAGGCCTTGATATGACCTGAGGGAACTGTCAGACTCTGCACTGCTATGTAAGGGAAGTTTATTTTCTCAAAGAACCCAGGATATGATAAAACTATTTCTCAGCTCACAAGGGTAACGAAAAGGGCGACCCAGTAAAGGCAGTAAACACAATTATAGATGGAATCAAACGCGAAGGTGCAGCAGAAGGCAAAAAAATCCCAAGCACATTCGCTCTTGGCTTGGATTGTTATGAAACTATCAAAGAGGGCTGCGAAAAAACGCTGGCGCGACTGGAGGATTGGAAGGATCTTAGCCTCAGCACAGATTATTAGGCATGAGTGTAAGAAGCCAGTTAGTGGATTAGTCTTGTTATATCTCTGCTTCGAGCAACAATTCGAGTCTGTACAGTACATACCACATCGTTCGTAGTGCTGCAAAATTTCTATTTTTAGAACCGCTATATTTAGCCTTGTGTCTTCCTACTACATATGTATCCTGTCGTGAAGAGGCCAGCATTCATCTGCATGAAACTTGGAGAATTTCTACCTTTCTTGGGAGCCAGGAAGAAAGGAACAATTTTATTCATCGGTTCTTTCTACAGATGGCGGGTAGTACCATTTAGTGAACTATATGTCACTAGCAAATACTGTCCCTTGTTGTATGGAGGCAACGCCCCCCTAGCCCGTTACGATTTTTTCTTGCAGGCAACAGGCAACGGCGCAAATTTTGGGCGTTACAGGGGTCAGAATTGGCAACGATGGACTTATTCTTTGAGCTCCCACTGGTATTTTTTTCGGCTTGACAAAGGTAAAATCAAAAATTAAGCTGATTTTAATTTCGCAGAAGAGGCAACGAGCCTTCCGTTAGCCGTTACATAACGCCAAATAGGCAACACAACGAGACCTCAGTTATGCATTACAGTTGCCTCCATACAACTAGGGACAGTACGCCTTACTAGGTAACTAATTCAGGTCGATATCGTGCAATCTGCGTCTCATCCATTTTCTCCTCAAAGGCATGTCGGAAACCTTAGCTGCGGAGATAAAACCATTTGGCCTTCGGGATATATGCTCGGGGTGTTTTCGGACCCAAGGGTCCTCGGTGGAATTCTATTCTGGAAGTTTATGAGGAATCAGGTGAAGCGGCAGAGGCATTATTAACCGCTGAGAATTAGATTCGCTCCTGTGGATGGGGAACTTAGTCACTGCGTTTCAACAACCTATAACGGTGTCCAGAAGGGCGATCTAGTCAAGGAAGTAAATGTGATTATCGATGTGATCAAGGGTGAAGGTGCAGCGGAAGGCAAAGATATTTCAAGCGAGTTCTCCCTCGGTGTCGACTGTTACGAGACGGTAAAGGCCAGCTGTGAGAAGACGTTGGCACAACAGGAGGAATGGAAGGGTGTCATTCTGAGCACTGATTACCAGGTCTAAGCAATCAGTGGATCGGATTTCACTGCATGTGCATGTGTATATACTCAGAATGCTTCCAATACAATTCCATTTCATAATGTTCCTGCATACACATCGACTGAAAGTCGTGCGAAGTGTCTCATTAGCGGGAATGCCTGTCAGTCATACTGGCACCTGCTTGAAATGGTATTAAAATTCCGATTGGATATATAGTCTGCCTCGAGGTTTACTGACAGCATACAATGAAATGGTACGGGTGTACCAGATGATGAAGAAGTGATTGCATTTATAGCTTTCCAGATCGAGTGGGGGCCTGTTCTCTCTATTTTTGTCCCGCTCACACAGAAGTGTCGATCATCAGTCATCCTGCTATCGCCAATCTGGAATTCACTACTGAATACTGAAGGCTTAATATGGAGGACCGCCAAAGTTTTCAGTTGCGTCTGTGCCTATTGGTCGTTATAGAGCCTTATGTGATTCAGGATTATCACAGCGCTTACGCTCCCATGTTGCTCCGGTGATTAGCGCCCGCGAAGTCAATTCAGGGTCACCAGAAATTTCGACACTCAGCCATGAATTCGTCTATTTATATGTCACTCCCTTGGGAATATCAGACTCATAAATGAGTCTGCAGGAACTTCTGGTGGGAGAAAGGTTAAATCTTTCGATCTCTTCATCGTTCTATCCGAACAGCACCAACCTCTTTTTGCACCTTTGTTTCCTGGGCTGTTGACATCAGAAG